ACACTGTTGCACAGAGACGAGAGACCAGAGACAAGCAAATATGGAACAAAAAAACCGAGCGGCAAAATGAGAGAGAGAGTCAGTCCCACACGATAAGACCGCGTAAGACCTGTTCTCGTAGACAAGGGGCCTTTTTCATATCTCAGCCCTGAATTTACTGGCCATCTGTTGGTGCGACTACGGCTTATGAAAGACTCCACCGCCCTTGTCCCGGCTGTTGTCTCGCGATAGTGAGACAGCTTGTGAGAATGTGTGACGAACTAATGGTACAGGTAAGGGAATTCGCCTCATCGGCTCATCAGGTAAACGCCGGATGTATCTTAAAGTGTGGTGCTTGATCCACACCCGTCGGAGTGAGTCTTGATGAGCTGACTGCTTTCCTTAGGGTTGTGGTATGTTTATCCGATCTTTCGACTCTCTTGCCAATCATTATCTGCTATCAAGAAAAGACGACTCTGACCAGTTTTTCCATATACGATCCTCTTCAAAAGGAAGATTAACTACGTTCAGTTCGGTTCGATTTATTTATTCTCTATTTTCAAGACTAGATTCTTTCCAGACCCGAGATGCTGATTTTGACCGATTAGTATGCGAGTTGGATCAAGCAGAGCGACGACTCGTCCGTTTTAACTACATGTTGGTGATTTATAGGAAGAAAATGTTCTTACGAAACTCGACAGTTGATCCAGAAACGTCTCATAGAACCAAGTAAGACTCTACTCCCTACTGTACATGGTTTACTATACTGTTTCGTTCGTTCTTCTGGTAAAAATGTGCACTCCAAACGCGCGCGGTGTTGGAATTTCACGTGCTGTAGTCATATTTCAGTATTTTCGTTGTTTGGAATTCCTTGCGTTTGAGAATTTTTGCCACTTTTTACAGGAAAACGAGAAGTACCCGGTGTCAGTGCTGATGCGCAAACATTTCCTTTTCACGACATGATCAAAGACTTAGCTATCGACCTCAATAGCAGGTAAATAGAATCTGCTATTCTTGAACTTCATTGTACGTTGTCCTTTTTCCATAGAAACTGGGGAGGAACATACTTTTCTGTGGTATACTTTTGCCCTCAGCTCTTGCATTCGCCCATATAAACCCACGATTATCCTCTAACTCCATGTGGATGTACGGTAGGTTATCAATTCTATTCCGATGTTTTCAGAGTTCGGGATGAAATAGTAAAAGCATTGCGAGCTATTCCAAAGAAACTTATACGAAAGCGAAACGATAAATTGATGGACTATGAAGCTGCGAAGTCAAGCAATAAAATGGTAAGTGTTGATTGAATTGATAGTTCTCGTTCAGTTTGCCACGAGATCTCTACTTTTGTTCAGAAGTCAGACTTCATGTCGAAGTTCAAGGACTTTGAAGCACTGAACAATCAAGTCAAGCAGACTTTGCCTAAGGTCATCGAAGTGTTGAACACAGTGAGTGCAACGGTTATACTATGGGGATAGGAGTAGTATACTCTACTTCGCTGTGGGTGGAGGGGCGTGTCAGGCAGTATTAGGTTGTCCGGAAAGTTCTTAGCGTTTTGTGCACCTAATCTTTGTACATTCACTGCTGATTAAAAACTCATTCTGCCTTGCTTCTCAGTAGCACATCCTGTAGAGAATTTCTTGCGCTATCTGATGGTATAATTGCCGTTTCACCATTGCTTGATAAACCCTCTTTTTTCAAGATTTTTTCAAGCATGTGAAAAGAGCACTTCGGACGATTTTTTTCTTCGGCTATAAATTGGGGCAATCCGCAATCGAAACAGCTCAACAAATTAACCAGGTGTGGAGGCCCAATAGTGCTAGAGAAAGCACTGTGCCGCAATGGCTCAACAAATGTCGTTCTGGAAATTTCAGCCTTGAAGGTGAGCCTCATAGCGGTCGACCTAAAGCAATATCTGACGAGGATTTTAGGGGGATTTTGAAAGGTTTTCGACCCATCCCAACAGTTCGACGAGATGCATGAAGAGCTAGGCTTGCAAATCATGCTCTCCAGCATGGTCCTGCGACACCCGCATTGGGAAGGTGAAAAACTCGACAATTGGGTGCCCCACAATCGGAGTGACCGGCAGGAATCGGCACGTCTCGAGGTTCCTTCTTCACTGCTTTTGCGCAAAAGAATTGACCCGTTTTTGAACGGATTTGTCACCTGTGATGAAAAATGGATCATGTATGATAACAGGAGACGTTCCGGACAGTGGTTGGATTTGGAGGAACCACCGAGGTAATTTTCAAAGCCGAACCCTCGCGAAAAAAAATTCTGGTCAGGTTTGGTGGTCATCGGCTGTTGTAATCCACTATAACTTTTCATCACCAGGCCAAACCATCACAGCAGAACCCTACTGTGAACAAACCGACCAAATGTACCGAAAATATTGTCAGCTGCAGCCAACACTTATCAAAAGAAAGGGTCCGATTCTTTTGCATGACAACGCCCGCCCACACGTTTCACAAATCACTATCCATAAATTGAACGAATTGGGAGTTGAAGTTCTACCTCACCCACCATATTCTCTAGACCTTTCACCAACCGACTGTCACCTTTTCAGACATTTTCAGAACTTTCCTGCTGAGAAATACTTCATCAAACAGGACCAGGCAAAAAAGACCTTCGCAGATTTCGTGGATTCTCGACCACCCAGTTTTTTCTTTGATGGGATTTCTCGACTGCTGCCACATTGGCAAAAGTGTGCTGATTCGAATGGTGCTTATTTGAAAATCAAATCCGATGAGTGTTAAGAAAGTTATGATCGTTTAAAGTTAAAACCCAAACACGCTTTTAATGGACACTTCGGACAACCTATATAAAACAGGCGCCCAAACCCGTTGCTTCTGCCAGTTGTTGGTGTTGGTATGCCGGCCAAAATTTATAGAAAACGACTGATACGAACTATGTGATAGCCACTGCTTACTTCAGCAGCCGGAGGTGAGCGGGCTTGGTACCGCGCCAGTCTCGTCCGGCTTGACACACCCATCGTCCACGCGGCGTAGAGATATATTAAGGTTAGTTGTCGGAAAGGAATGCGCGTTGAATTTTTAAACTTGTCCATTTTTTTCTCTCCTACTATAGAAGATTTTTGGAGACAGTTTTGTCTATTAGAAAGAGATTTTTATTGTGCTTCTTTTGATATATTTTTGTCCATGTCTACTTTGCTTTTTTTGGGGAAAAAAAGTTGGGAAGAGCGGGTGCCGCACCAGCTGAGCGACGCAAACAAGGCAACACGAGTGGCAATGGCCGGAATTCTTCTTCGTCGCTCCAAGAACAGCGGTTTTTTCGACTCTATTATTACATCAAATGAGAAAAGGGTCTGCTTCGATAACGCAACGAGAAAAGGACAGTGGTTAGACTCCAGTGACCCTCCAAAACGGACTCCGAAACCTGATATACGCGGCAAAAAGGTGATGCTCCGTGTTTGGTGGAATAGCAAAGGTTTGATGTACTTTGAAGTTCCGGAATCGGGTCAGACGGTTACGGCGGACATCTGCAAACACCAATTGAACCGCATGGATCCAGCACTGCGTCTTCAAAGTGTCGAAACGACGTCGACAAAATTTATCCACGACAACGCTCATCCACATGTGGCGAAAATCACTCTAGAAAAAAATTGAGGAATTGGGCTGGAAAGTCCTGCCTCATCCGCCACACAGATCAGACCTGGCACCATCGATTACCATCTGTTCCGGTCGATGCAGAACTCCCTGCGAGAGAAAATTCACAAACCGCGAAAAAGGTCCAACTCTGGGTGTCCAACTTCTTTGAGTCGCAGCCGGTCGAGTTCTTCAGAAGAGGAATCCATTTTTTGCATAAATGTTGACAACAAGTCATTGATACTAATGGAGATTGTCTTTTGAATTTATCTTGTTTAATTTCGTTTTTATAATAAAAAATTTTTTAAGCTCGAACGCGCATTCCTTTCGGACAACTAATATATCATAATGAGTTTTCACAACATTCACCTCACTTTTTCACGTTTTACTTTTTCCTCTGGTACAGCGATCATTTATGATATATAAGTTCTCTAGGTCTTGCGAGATGCAATGAAAACTGTGGATGAGTTGGACAGCAATCCTGATTTCCCGTATCCGTTCCAAGTTCCAAGAAGAAATCGCTGCTTATCAAAACGATCCTCTAGCTAGTTCGGTGAGTTTTCCGGTATAGAATATATCTGAATATTAAGTTTGCTCCTACAACAACGCTGGCCTTGTCTTTAACCATCTTTCAGTCACGTTTGATCGTGCCCGGCATGAGTTGCTTCGCTAATTATTACGACCCCGATAGACTGAAACCGCTTCACAACATCGTCAACAAGGTGGTGTATTCACTTTTGAATTGTTGCGAGATTAATCTTATTTGGAGACATTTTAGGCTTCCAAATCTGTTCGCCTCAACAGTATCACCTTGTCGCCCACCAAGCAAAAAAGTAAGTTTTGCACACTATGATGCGATTATTATTTCTGACTGAGCACATATGGCGCTTTGGACAATTACAGTGCCATCAGCGCTGTTGTAATGGGAACAACGCTTCAGACCACATAACATTATTGTAACCGTTATCCCTAATATCCGTTGTGCTTATGCCAGAGAATTATTGAATTCTCGAATCAGCATTGAGAAAATTCGGCAAGACTCGGGTTGTATTATATTTGAGAACGCTTTCCATTGAAAGGCTGTCATTGAGTGCCTTTTCTAGAGCGTAGTTATGGCATCATCTAATTAATTCTTTTTTTTTTGTTGGGAAAAGTAGCCGATTGGGCTCTGAATCTCGGTCACATTGTTTGCACCATATTTTCAACAGAAATGGACGAGTCAACTATGCTTCTTTTTTCAGGTAACGAAGCGGAAGATATCCTCACGAAGAGTGGTGAGCTCCAATTCGTTTTACAAACCCTTTTATACGCTTGTGTCGATGAAGTTGTTTAATTCGCGACATCGAATTCGTTCCAGTTTCCAATGAATGGAAAGGTGTAGAAACCATAGATTCCTCACAAGCCGCAGTCTCTCGTGCATTAGCAGGAAAGAAAGCGTTCCGAGCTCAAACGGAGGAAGAACGAACGCAAATTCTTGTGAAAGCAGACCTCAAGTAAGTGCGCTCTATATTTTCTCGAGTATTGAACGAGCACTGTTACCCCCTGTCCGAGGTTATTTTTACCCCTTACATAAACTTCTGGTTTGGCCGACACACGCTCTTGCGCTTACCACATACAGCTCCCAGTGGATCGCGCCACGTTATTTGTGTTCAGGTCATTCATGTTTTCCCAAAATGTCCCCTTTCCACTTTTCTCTTTGAGTTGATACCGAAAATGCCTTAGTAAGTTACGCGTATTCGAAGCAATGAAAAAAAAACCCGCGATTGCATATTATGGAAGTGCCGTTTAGTTATCAACCTACATGCGCTAAGAAAAGACCCCTGGCAGCCTTGCTGTACCAGACTTCGAACCTGCTTAAGCCAGCAAAACTTATCTTGCGCCTCTGGCTCTCTAATCATTTTCCTTTCATCTCGAGTAATGCCATTGAACAAAGGAAAAAAACGAAAAAAGGAAAACTGAATTGGTGTGAAACTGAACTCAGGTCGAAAAATATGTCACTTTTGCTGTTAGGGACAACTAAAGAGGCATCAGAACTACCTCTCACGAGAGCCACAGCGGAAGTCGCAAAAGTAGGACTGTCTTAGAATCCGTGGACCGAAGCAAGTACACCTGCGAACTGCTCAAGCGCGGGAAATAATTTTAAGGCCTACCCTACCCGTGAAGCGTCTTACAGCATGCACTTCGTCCAGGCGACAGTTCAGGCGCTAAGGTGCTTATGGAAAATAGCTATGGTAGACATTTGATGCTGCTCGTGACATCTCTGTGTAAAGCGCTTATGCGAAAACTATAATAGTTTAGGGTTTTATATGTCACCATTAGGATGAGAACAGGAGCGAGTGCTGCATTCACCGAGAGCTTAAGAATTGAGCCATATCGTGTTACGCTTGTATTCCCGTGGTTCGAATTCCCCCATGTAAATCATTCACTGTCAACCCTGATCAACTGCTGTCACCTCCTTTCAGCCATAATCAGTGCAGTTCTTACCTTAACCCATCCCTCCCCTCCCAACTAGATCATCCCTGTAGACCAGCTCCTAGTGTGTCTGTGGCGCATCCCAATAAATTTGAGGACTTTCCTTCTAATGCCCCTTAGCGGATCTTATCAGTTGCGGTCACCCAGCAATAGTGTTCCCATCTTGCTCCCTTATCACCCCTTGGGACACTCAAATACTTTTCATTGTTACTGCGACGGACGCTATGGATTTCATAACAAACAGACGGACGTACACATTCACGCATATACCTATTCTGTAGGGTATAAGGCTCATTTATTTGCATGGTCGCGAGAACGCACGCGAGAAGTTTTCAGACGGGGCAGCACTTTTTTGCATACTCTGACCCTCTGAGAAGCATTTCAATCATTTTATTCAAAATACATCTTTCACATAGGCAAGAACACACAAATAATACTTTTCGAGGCGAAGGTGCTCCTTATATGCGGGAGCGCTACACCCCAGGAAATAGGGTATATACACAAGCAGATCATAAATAGTGGTGTTTTAAGTTCGACGTCGTAAGGCAGTCCATGATTTTGGAAATTATTTTTCCACGCAATGTCTTACTTTCATGTAAATACGTCGGCTACTGGTTAGGCCTCAATTATTACGCGCAACTCTGGCAGTTGTTTGGTGTTCGCGCTGATGCTATAAACTGAACCGCCCTTATTCACTCATCGCTATTTTGCAACAGTCAGAGGTGGATCGCGCACGTTTGTCGCCGTAAAGTATGAACGAAGTGTTAACTGCTGCACTCGTCGGAGCCTTATGAAATGATTTTTTCTAGCAATTGATCTGTAACATTACGTTGCTTTAGCAGACATCCATCAGATATCTTGTATTTCAGGAATCGTCGAGGTGACATTTACCGTTGTACATCTGAATGGCCTACTTCCGTAGAAGCCTTAGAGCTCAACAAAGTGAGCGGAAAGATGTTGATTGTCCAGCCAGGTGACGCTGTGCTGGCTGTACGAAAGGACCCCTGCAACATGTGGTGCGCTCATGCAGCTTTCTATATAATGCTTTCCGTCTTTCACGTATTAGTTACGTCCATATAGTATGAGTTGCGCTAACAAGGGAATGGTTTGAACTTCCCATGGAACTTTGAATGGAGACCTAGGTACATCGATAGAGCCTCGAATGCTGATTACGAATATGCAGATTAAAAGTGCTACGGGGACCTCCCAGACGAGATCTGGGTGGTCAAAGTTTGAGTTCTGGCTCGTAAGCGCTGCTGATCGATGCCTCGGCAGTGCCACCGTGGCCTCGTGGTAATGGTCTCGCTTTCAAGTCGAACGCATTCGGGTTTGCATCC